GGATTGTCCTCTACCCAAACTGTAGGAAATTCCTGGATCAGCAACTTTTCCCATTCTCCCTCCAGGGAGTGGATTGGATTTTGGAGGAGCAGATATCTCTCACTTATTGGGCAGGTTACAGTTACAGCCTTAGCAGGGCCTCCCAATTGCCAACTAGGAGAGTCTCCTGGGAATGATATTGTTCTCCTGGACCTTGTCCAAGAGGTCCCGCCCCAGTAAAGGGTAGGGACATTCAGGAATAACAATAAAAGAATGACTCCATGTCCTAGGTTAACAGTCCAGTCAGTGGTCCATTTGTATTCTTTGACATCTCCTGTGCCCCCTGTACTTCCATTGTTTGGTTGGTACAGATCCCAGGGGTTCCTGTAATAATGAATGAACAGCCCCTATGTCCACCAGAAATTTTATAGGTTTCCCCCTATGGTTACCATAGGCTCCTGGAGGTGAGTCTGAAGGAGCCTCAGCTTCACTAAGCCTCCATAACTTGGATTGGGTTGGGTTTAGGGGCTTCGTGTTACCGGTGTGAACATTCATTTTTCCAAAGACCCATTTCTTTGCAGTAGGCACATTGGTCTTTTGTAAAGGTCTCCTCTTCTTATCATGGTGTACTTGGGCAGAGTTGAGAGTGGCTGGGGCTTGTAGTGCATGGTGACATATCCCATCTTCTTTACCATAAAATCTTCTGTGCTATCTCTGCCATCAAATACTTTCTGGGCTATCTCTAATAGTTCTGACCTGTGGTTTTTTTTTCTGCAAACCCATTCATCTTTTGTATCTTTCTACATATGTTAAAGGCTGACTAGGTAACAAAGGCCAGGTTAATCACCTTGAGAGCTGCCAGGTCCACTGGGATTATAGGAGCATATAACCTATAGGAATCCAGGAGGTGCTCCAAGAAAACTGTAGGCAATTCATCTAGGCCCAGTTTCACATCTGTTACCTTAGACACCTTAGGTAGGTTAGCGGGCTTTCAAAATGCCTGTATCATCTCTTCTAGATGAACCTTGTGGTGTTCACATAGTGACCTCCTACCTCTCTCTGTGCTGTAGTCCCATCGGGGTCTCCTTTGCAGAGCACAGTCAATCACCTCTGCCCTCTGGCCATCAACCATTGAGACTAATCCAGGGAGAGCTTCTGTTTCTTTCATGAGAATCCATTCCCTTTCCTTGGTAGTGAAGATGGAATGGAGAATTTACTGACAGTCGTCCCATATGGGGAGATGGTTGAAAAAGATAGAATCAATTAGAGAAGTTAAGGCTTCAGGGCTAGTGTTGAAAGGGTTGTTCTGGCTCTTCCAATTGTAGAGAACAGTGGTGGGAAAAGGGACAGACAGGTAATGATTGTCGGGAAACAGCTGTAGGCAAGCAAGGACTGAAGGCGGTGCCACCCCAGCACCAGAATCAGACTCCCTGGAGGGTGTGGGGAGGAGAAGAAAATGCAGAGGGAAGTAGGTAAGACCTAGCAGGAGAAGATAGGTGGAGGTAGGGAAGAACTAGATAGTAGGGTATGGGTAAATGTGGACAGGGGGGCAGAGTGAGGTCTTGGTGGTGGGGACTAGGGTGGCAAAGGTGGAGGTTGAGGTGACGAAGGAAGAAGAGGATGAAGATGGTTACATGGAGGGAGGAGGGATGCTTCCTTCTGTAAGTTCTGCAGAATGGTCTTCAAAGGGGCTTATTGGTCACTACTACAGGCCCTTGAAAGGCCTGTATGTTGATAACTAAGGCTTGGCCACCTTGCCCATTGTGAACCATACAGGCTTTGATGAAGGGGTGGGGGTAGGTTGGAAATTGCTTCAGCCTAAAGAAAGACGTATCCAATCTGATCCGGCTGGCCAGGTTTACTGAGGATGACATTAACCACTGCCCTGGCTCTCTGAGAATCAGAAGTACCCTTGGAGGGCCAGTCAGCATGAGTGTGTGCCACTCAGTTTCACAGAATGTTGGGAGGTGACGCTTGATGATAGGATAATTATCCTCCTTAATTATAGGTGAGTAAAATCTATCAAAATTCTTTCAGACACAGGTTAGAGGATGGTTAGGTGTGTTAGTTTTATTACCCATGCTGTCTATCTGTTCAGTCATCCCAAGCCCAAAATAAACCAGTAAACACCGAAAGTAGGAATGGCAGAAGGAGGACAATAAAAATGAAGCCTAAGATAAGATCTAAATAGGACATAAAATCAGGCCAGGAACCTCAGGTGGGCAGTGCAATGTCTCACTTTCGGTCCTGGGTGGGAGAATATTGTGGTCCTATCAAACCCCTTCCACATTCTAGGTAGGGATCCCACAAAACAGAACGAGACTGTAACTCTCCAGCAAGCCTCCGTAGACACTTGGTGCTTTTCTCAGCACAAACGTTCACCCTGATAGTCCTCTAACTGAAGGTAGCCCCAGAGCCTTGGAAAATCTTAAGGCACATACCACCTGAGCCAGTCCCCATGCCCCTAGAGTTCCAGAGCAAAGATCTGGGTTTAGAATTTGGACGAGCGATCTGAATCTCACTGGGGCCTCCAGAAGATGTTCATTCTAATGGTGAGACTCAGATCACAATCACAGCTTGAGTCAAATTTGAAGCAAACTTAATTTTTTATTGGGGTGCACCCAAAGCTAGACCGGGACTGACTCCTAAGTAGGGTTAAAGAGAGCAGCTCCAAATTCATCCCGGAGGCCCCTTTTAAGGAGTAAAATCACAAATAGCTTTACAGAAGGGAGACAATGGGACAAAAAGAATATTAAAAAAAAACTTTAAAAATATTATCACTAACCATGTGGTTAGGGAGGGGTGAGGGAAGATCAGGGAGGGTAAGGGTATTCTCCAAAATAAATCAAGGTCATGGTTTTGGGAAGGTCAGTCTCCAGGAAACAGAGAGCAACTCAACTCTCGCAGTAAGTACAAACTTTTTTTTTTAATGCAGCATAATGGCTCCCACCTTCAAATGGAGCCAGGCAGGTTCCCCAGAGGAACTGCATTAAAGAGTTTCAGCATTAGGAAGGTTGAGAACTACTGCTCTGACTTGTAGAAAGAAGACAATCCAAGGTAAGAGCCATGCCTCATGGTACAAGCAACACATCCATGCTTTTATATTTTATGCATATGGATGATTTGTCTACATGTACATCTGCACACTAGAAGAAGGTATCAGATCCCATTATAGACAGTTGTGAGCCCCTATATGAATGCTGGGAATTGAACTCAGGACCTCTGGAAGAGCAGCCAGTACCCTTAACCACTAAGCCATCTCTCCAATACTCTCTGTGCTTTTAAATGCCCAAGTGAAAAAGACTGATGTGCACACACTTGTGTTAATAATACCTTTGCTAATGTTGTCTTTTATTATTTGGTTAGTTACAGACAGATTCTCAATAGTTCAGGCTTCCTTATACCCATATCTTACAGTGACCTTGAACTCTTGATCCTCCTCCCTCAACTTAGTACTGGGGTTTACAGGTAGGCATCCTCAACATCTGGGCTTGGCAAATAGCAATTCTACCTGAACTGGTTTTGTCAAGTCCTAAGCAGGACTTTGCCTGTTCCTGTCAGGACCAGTGACTACCACCTCCCCCTGTGCTCCTCAGCTCCAATCGCCCTCTAAGGGTAGTAACCACGAGAAAGGGCCTGGGTTTCAACAGTATCCGCCTCACATGCTCTGTACTCTAGGCAGCATGGGCAGCACCTTTTGAACTTTCTCCAAAAAGAGGCATCCTGCCAAGACAGAATGTTCTGACCTGCTCCACCCAGAAGATAAAAACCACAAACGTGTTTGCGAGAAGCAGCAAGCAAGGGAGGAAGGTAAATAAGTTTGCGCAGGAGGTGGCTACACGTTGAGAAGGAAGTACAGGGGCTGGCTGCCCTGTGTGGGGCTGTGTGCCTCTGTTCCCACCTTGGGGACATGTCTTTTGAAGTGTCTTATCCCCTGGTGCCAGCCCCCGGTTGCTCCTGGAGGACACCTTCCTTTATATGGAACACTCACGTGGCAGAACTCCATCAGCAAGGCCTTAATGCCTAGCCAAAGGTCACAGTGCAAAGGAAGGCAAGAGAATGAACTATTGGAGTCAGAAGGTACTAACGCCTTGTCCCAAGGTCCTCCGACCCACTGCTGTGCCCTTCTTCCCATCTCATCCTTGGTCAATGCCAAATCCACCCTGCCCTACCCCCAGCCCAAACACTGCACACTGTTTCTCTCTTGGGCTTATCTCCCTGCACTGCCTGGAAACTCTACAATGCACTCTGGGACAGGAGCTCCTCCAGAGCACCATAGTATCTATAGAAAACATTGCCATCATGGAGGGGCTATTGATCATCTGCCACCCCCCAGCACCCACCATCCTGTGACCTTCTCAGAGACAAGGACCCAGTCTCACAATGTTTGTGTTTGCCCATCAATTCCATTCCTAGTTATTTGCCTCCCCCAACACAATAGTAACTTCTTACATTAAATCTCTATACAAACGTTGATGGCATTTTGTCCACAGCAGCAATTCAAATAGCTGAACCATGATACAACCACAGAATGAAATACTACTTAGCAAGGAAAAGGAAGGGACTCCTGAATGTGTCTGATAACCTTGATAAGTCTCTTTGAATTATCAAGTGGAGGACCAGACTGAAATAGCTCTGTGATTCCATTTGTGAGTCTTCCGGAACAAGTAGCGCTAGTGGGTTAGAAGGCAGATAAAGGTTACTGTTATGATGGTCTCTGCATATTAGTGTCAAAACTCTAAGAGAGGAAAACTTACCTGCCTGGAAAAATTTGAGGGGGGGTAAGAGGAAGAAGAAGAGGAGGAGGAGGAAGAGGAGGAGGAAGAGGAGGAGGAGGAGGAGGAGGAGGAGGAGGAGGAGAAGGAGAAGGAGAAGGAGAAGGAGAAGAAGAAGAAGAAGAAGAAGAAGAAGAAGAAGAAGAAGAAGAAGAAGAAGAAGAAGAAGAAGAAGAAGAAGAAAAGAAAGAGAAAGAGAAGGTAGCATACTAGTTGATAACTAATCAAAACACGAATAAACCTCACAGCAGAGGCACAGCAGAGGGAGATGATGTCATTCACTTCACAATGCCCAATGTTTGCCTCAGAGGTCCTGGGAGGCAGGAGGAGCCCGGTTCACTAGATGGCTAACCAGGTGGTCAAATGACTTGCTGCTACTGTAGCGCTGGTGGGTGACACAGCGATTCTGATTCCTGCTCTTTTCTCTTCCAATGTCATTATGCTGTCTGGGAATCTTCAGCCTGTGGATAAAGGCAAACAACAAAACACTGGGGTCTGGCTTTCTTCAGTGCCTCGGGCAGAAAGGCTGCCCGTCTCCTCCCTGGAGACTACAAGGTGACTCAAACTGCAGGAGGGGGCCAGTCTGGCTGTGGGGAAAGAAAAGCAAACAGACTCAAAGGCTTCCAGAAATCAGCCCCCGTGTGGCTCACCAACAGCACCTTCCTTGGCCAGGGGTCATGGCCATGACGGGGATCCAGTGTGGAGAGCTCCAAGCCTGAACACAAAGCAGAGAAAATAGGATAGAGACCTTTCTCAAAAAAGAAAGGACTGGAAGAAGACAGGAATGCTAACTACCTCCTTCCTTATCCAGCCATGTCTGAGGCTCTGCTTCTGTTAGAGGAGCCAAACATTTAAACTACAGGGCAGTCAGCATGAAGTGTCTTCAATCCGGTTAGGTTGTGGCTACTCACTCCAGTGCTGGAACAAAGCTATCCCAGCATCCTTATTTGTAGGGAGAAGATAAACTTCTATGAACCCAAGTTAATTTGACAAGGACACCCAACCAAATAGTGGTGAAAACAGCACTCTGCCCTGCCACCTGCATCCATGGCCCCTGTCACCTGCATCCAGGGTCACTGCCACCTGCATCCAGGGCCCCTGCCACCTGCATCCAGGGCCCCTG